GTTTCCTGCCCCATCAGCATTCACTGTTAAGAGATTTAACAAGTGCTCCTCTGAGCCTTTTAGGCCTCACAGTCAGCACTGAGTTGCTGTTATTTTCACAATATTGCAACAATGTCACTTTCCTCTTTCACCTCATAACAATTTTTCTTTAAGCTGTTTTGGAAATATTCTAGCGACCTTTTTTACATGATTTGTAGCTGATTGAATAGCTAAGTTGTTTTATAATTTCCAGATTTGGGTCGGTCAATTGTAGTTTGGCAGATCCTGATTTCATTTCGCTTTCAAATTAGTAGGGGACCCTTTGCCAATTTGATTCTTGATATGTGAGGTAAAACTTGATTGAGTTGGTAGCCTAACAGCCACACCTGCTAGCTGAATTGGCTTTGCCTTAGAAGAGAAACCTTTTCTTGATGATCAATTATCATAAAGTTAAGCACTTTTCCGTCTTCAGACTATTGGATATGTACTCTATAGATCCTTCATGATGAGTGAATGCTATGTTCATAATAGATGGACACTTTTACATTTCCATCTTAAGATGGCGATAATTTGGTATGTATGGCCTGCAAATTGTAAAATCTGATAAAAATTGTTTTTTGTAGGCTGATCAAGCCGGGACAGTTGTCGAAGTTGTAGCAGAAGATGGGAAACCCGTCAGCTTAGATACAGTAAGTTCCCTTCTTGAATGTTTTTGTTATGGAGTATAAAACTTGTTTTCTGCTTCCAACTAAAATCATCTTTGACTTGTCTTGGTGCCTTTGCAGCCTCTATTTGTCATTCAGCCGTAGATAACGCTAACCAGCCGGTCCAGCGTCTGTATGATTATTGGTTAAACACACTTCTAAACTCGTAGATGAAAAAATTTTCTAATTCAGATGAGGTGCTAGATGAAGTCGAAAAAGAAATTGTTATTTATTTAATTATTTTTAACCATTTTGATTTGCACGTTGGGGAATTGTCAGTTGTTTTTTTCCTTTTTGTTTCATATTGCTAAAATTGCTTTAGTTTTTTGTCTGACATGAAGTTTTTGTAGGACAAATTTCTCCTATTTTGTGCATTCCTATTTGGACCTTTTATATTTCTCCATGACTAGAATGATGTATTTGAACGTGTATTTTTGGAAATTTTTACGACCATTAATAAGAATTTTAAGACGCAGCAAATTTGAACCATACTCAATTATCTAACCTGAAACTATTTTGACTTGAGCTAAATTTATTGGTCCGATTTGAAAATTAATGTGACTAATTGACAATAATCTTAAATATAATCAGGTATACTATGTAGTATGTACAAAGAATTGAAAAGACTTGTAACCAAAAGTATTTGGTTTTTGGTCATAAGGGTATATTTGTCTTTCACATGTTGCTTGTAATGTATACTTGTATAATGGTGTCGTTATATAGATTCGCCTTAGTCCCAATTTATCCTAGCAATAATGGTGCTTCTAAAGAATATTATCAATCAAAGCACAACTAACATGTGTTTAACGTGTTGGTAATAGTTCAATATAATTAGGATTCTACATTTCTACTAGATCAATAGTTGTTAATGAACCCAGATTATCCTAAAATTCGAGGTGAACCCACGAATAGGTAATTTAGATTAAATTGAGCATATTATATGCAATCGAGGAATCTTTAAAAAATAAAAAATAAAAAAATTCTTAAATAAGACACACGGCAAACAAGTATCGCTACAAGTGTTGGTCATAAATTTTACTTAAATCAAATTTGACCCTATATTAATAATTGGTTTACCATCTTATGGTATCAAAGATTTTGAACATGTTTGCAAATAAATTATTTGGTTGTTATTTTGGCATAATAGATTACACTTTAGTTGGCAGCTGTTAATAACCAAATGTTAGGTGATGTATTGGTCTACTAATAATACAAGTACATTTCTTTTTCAAGTAAAATTGTTGTAAGTTATGTATAGTGGTGCTAAAAAGTTAGGCAAAACCTGAAGAAATAATGAAATATAGCTATCACTAAACACCATTACAGCTGCAGTCGACAAATTATTTGTGTATTTTTTGACCTTTCACTACCATGAAGAAGTTGTACGGAAAGGGATTTTCTTCTTCTTTTTTTTTTTTTTTTTGGTGGAATAAAATTTATGTCTTTTCGAGCAATCAAATTCAAAGATGAGAGAATAGATAGCAAGTAATCGAATATCCAACTCACCAAGGACCACTCTAGAAAGATTAAGAATTGTCTCAAACTAATTTGGATTTCAATTTTTTTTTTTTTTTTTTTTTTGTCAACTTTTTTTATATATTGTAGTACATTCAAATCATTTCTTAAATATTTTCCTTGATTTTGAATTAAAGGTAACATATTTTTGAATTTGCTACGTGGTTAAATTTATTTTAAGTAAGTCTACAAATCGCTCTGTACAAAAGGAACGTTGATCGGTTTTAAAAGTTTCATCTTAGAATTATTTACTATTGTGTTTATGACTTCTCATTGTGTGTGTGTGAGTTCTCATTATAATATGTCATACTTCCTATATGTTAAATCATACTCCAAATGTAATTGACTCTGGGTTTATAATGCTCAAAATTCCTTATAAAGTAGCAGCATTGTATTAGTGGTGCAATCTTTTCATTTTCGTTAATTTTCTTTTGAAGGAAAAAGGGGAGCATATAAAACTAACATTCAAATCGAGATCCTCCAAAAAGCTAGGCTTGAAGGAATTATTGAGAACTTATCATAAAAGAATAGGAATTTTTCAAGTTATTGATTAACTTGATTTACCATATCAATAAAGCAACTCTCATACACTATCTCCATTTAGTAGAATAATCAGTGTTCTCCGGAGAAAATGGTCACCTTATGTAATTATGTCGAAACCCATTTAAACCCACTTACAAGTGTCCCATAATACAAAAAGAGGAGCGATTATTTCACTTTATAAGATAGAAAATTACTCATTTACCCCTACTATCACCAATTGGTTTTAGTATGGAATATTCTTAGTCTGGTTTGTATACCAAACTCTCCTCCTTATTCGAGTTGCCCAAACTCATTTTAAAAGTTAATTGTTGCAACGTTTAAGCAAAGAGTGGAGTATTTATATTCTAGATCCATTTGTTTATTCAGGCATGGGAGAAATGTCTTAATCATATTAGTTGTTTAACAACTAGAATCATTGACAAATTTGATTGACATATAGCATTGGTTTTATTTGTGCAGTAATGGAAGTTTATTTATTAAAATTAATGGCTTATTTTTCGATTGGATTTCACTAAACTATTTTGAATTCAATTGTTCATTAGTACTCATGTTAAGGTTTTTCAATTAATAAATAAGTATAGCTGTCATATCATTAATATATTGAGTACACTATAAGCAAAGTTTAATTTAATTAATAGTTAGGCCATATTCTTGTCACTTCATATTATTATACTTTATCTATAGAGCTGTCAAAAACCGACCCGAACTGGTGAATCCGAACCGTTTTGAACTGTTTCGAAAAAAAACCGAACCGCTAAGAACTTGTTATTTTAAAACCGTAAACCGACCTGACCCGATTTTTTAAAACCTGAAAATGAACCGATCCGAATGTTTGAGAACCGTTAGTGAACCGTACCCGATATCAAGCCAAACTGATACAACCCGAAACCGAGAACAACCTGAACCGAGTACTTTTGAACCTGATAGCAACCCGACCCATTGTAAACCAAAACCGTTTAAACCCAATAAACCCAAATCGTTTACAACCTGTAACTGGTTAAGATTGAACCGTTTATAACCCGTAATAAGTTATGATCGAACCATTTACAACCCGTAATCAATTATAACTGAACCATTTATAATTCGTAAGTCCGCAACCCGTTATGACCGTAGAATTTTTTTTTCTTTTTTTTTTTGGGTACATTTTATCAATAGTAAAATAAAAGGGTTTAATTTGAATTATAAAGTATTTATATTGAAAAGGTTTGGTATTTTATGCTACAATATTATCGTTTACTAACGAGTAAAGGCATATGAAACACTATATTGTATTTAATAAAAAATTAAAAATCTAAATCAAAAGCTAACTCTAGATTTGTTATTATTATTTGATCCTTAAAATCATTATACAAAAAAGGGACATAAAGTTAAACAATTAATTAATACTCCGTATGATCTACTGGAATAACTAATTAAAGAATATTGAGGATATACTAGACGATATACACTAACGAAACCCGTTTAAAACTGGCAAAACTAGTTGTCAAACCGACTAAGTTCAACTCGAACCAATTACAACCCGAACCGTTTACAACCCGACCTGATTAGGACCCGATATGTGTTGACCCAAAACCCGCTTTAAACTGACAAACCCTGTTTTTAACCCGACCGAATTTAACCCGAACCGATTATGACCCGAACCAATTATAACCCGACCCGATAAGGACCCGACCCGAAAAGAAATTGTAATAAAAATTAACCTAACCGAACCGACCCAAAATTATTTAAAACCGACCCGAACTGACCCGTTAATAATTCCAACCCGTTAAAAACCGACCCGTTACAAATCGAAAACCGATAAACCGAACCCGAAACTGAACCGAAAACCTGATTGACACCCCTATTTACCTGTATCTAGACTTAATTTTTAATTTTTTTTTTATTTGAAAATATCTAGACTTAATATAATGCCTCCATCTAAATTAAAAGTATTATTTCACCAGAAAAAAATATTACTTCGCCAAAAAAAATCATTTTGTCCCTAAGATCACTTTGTCCCTATTCGAGTTCTTCATTTTAGAACTCAGAAAATAGAGAGAAAAACATGAAAAGAAATAGAGAGAAGAAGAGAGATTTTTATTAGATTGTAAAAAACTGATTACATATTACAAGCTGAGATGCTATATATAGCATTTTGTTTTATAACAGAATCTCTAACAAATTATATACATCACCAAAAGCGTGGGAATGCTTGTAATAACATAATATGCCAGCTCATACATCTTGTAACAGAATTTTGCCAGCTCATCGATCCAAAACTCAAAGTAAAACTGCTAAGTAAAGGCTGCCTGATTCATCTTCGTTTTCTGATTGAACAAAAGGGTAGATTGTTGTGTCATCTTCAGCTTGATCATCATGATCAGAATGATCATGATGCTCTTTACCCCCCCTCAAGCTAGGAAGTGGCTGAGAGAAGTCATCCCTAGCTTGGACAAAAGTTCTGGCACACCAGAACACACGACCTGGCACACGACCCACCACGACCCCTGACCGAACCCACAACCAAACCAAAACCTTACCCGACGCCAAACCCACCAAGACAGCAACCACAAAAGCAACAAAAACCCTACCCAAAATCAAATGGAAAAAAACCCAAAATCAATTCGAAAAAAACCCCAAAATCATTTCGAAAATCAATTAACCCCAAAATCAATTCGAAAAAACCCAAAATCAATTCGAAAAAACCCAAAATCAATTCGAAAAAAAACCAAAATCAATTACCCCATAATCAATTCGAAAAACCCCAAAATCAATTCGAAAAAACCCAAAAAAAATTCGAAAATCAATTAACCCAAAAACCCTAATCTCGAATAATTAAACCCAATAACATGCACTAACCTCGGACTTGGTGGCGGCGGTGGTTAGTGGCGGTGGCGGGCAGAAGACAGAAGAGAGAAGAGGGGTCGGAGAAGAAAGGGGAAAGAAGAAGAGAGGGGAAAGAAGAGGAGTGAGAGGTCAGACGACAGAGGAGTACAGATCAGAAGAGAGGAGAGCGAAGGAGGAGAGAGAAGGAGGAGAGGAGGAGAGAGAAGAGAAAGGCGCCTAAGAGAGAAAAGCTGAGGGTAAACTTAGGGTTAGGGTATATAAAGGAGAGAGCTAAGGAACAAAATGAAAGGCCGGTTTTTTTTTAAGAAGGCCACCGGTTCAAAACCGGTGGGATTAATGTTTTTCCCTCTGGTTCAGTTTGAACCGGTGGTAATACTCTCCCCTCAAAATCCCGCCCATTTTCCCCCCTTTTTTCCCCATCGGTTTTTAAAAACCGGTGGCCTTGAGGCGGTGCCTATCTTCTTTTTTCACCTAGTGATTTTAACTACAGGTGAAAAAGTTTCATCATAATCTAACCCATATTTCTATGTATAACCCTTGGCAACCAGTCTTGCCTTGAACCTTTCCATTGTTCCATCCTTTTTTAGCTTTATTTTGAACACCCACTTGCAACCAATTGCTAGGTAAATCAGTAACCTCCCAAGTACCATTTGCAGCTAAAGCTTCCAATTCCTTGTTCATAGCTGCTACCCATTCTGGGTGTTGTGAGGCTTCAAAATAAGTTGCAGGCTCAGTGTGTGAACAAAAAGCTGTTATTAAAGCTTTACAGGGAGTATGAAGCTCTTCAAAACTCACCAAGTTACACCAATGAGGAGAACCAGTAACAACACATATATAGTTGTCCATCCAACTTGGCTTTTTAGTTGGTCTAGTTGACTGTCTTTCTGGGATTGTGAGCTTGGAATATGGTGTTTGGTTATTGTTTTGTGTTTGGGTTTGTGTTTGGGTTGAATTTTGTGTAGGTGTTTCAAGAGTAGAATTACTCATTTCAGAAAAATCAAGTTGTCCTGTTCCTGAGTCAGTGTCTGTGTTTTGCACAAAAATATCAGGTACATCAAATTCTGTACCAAAGTTAAAGGGTGTGTTTGCAGGTAAGAAAATAGAGTCAGGTGTTTGGGTTGAATGTGAAAAATGGAAAGGAAAATGTTTCTCATGGAATGTAACATCCCTGGAAACAAGATTTTGTGTGTTTCAAGGTTCATAAGCCTGTAAGCTTTCTGACCAGTTGGGTAACCAATGAAAACACATGGTGAAGCTCTTGGATCAAACTTTGATCTATGTGTTTTCAAGGTATTTGCATAGGCAAGACACCCAAAAACCCTTAAATGATCAATATTGGGTTTTGTAGTATACAATTTTTCATAAGGTGAACTCAAGGGCATTCTGTTAATCAAGTGTGTGGCAGTCAGAAGACATTCTCCCCAATATTTTATAGGCAATTTTGACTGAAAGAACAAAGACCTGGCTGTCTCTAAAAGATGTCTGTGCTTCCTTTCTACAACACCATTTTGTTGTGGTGTGTCCACACAACTAGTTTGGTGAAAAATCCCAAACTTCTCATAAACTGATAGAATTTTGCCTTCACACAGTTCTTTGGCATTATCAGTTCTAATAGACTTGACTTGAACTTCAAACTGATTATGAATCAAGGTAAACAAATACTCCAGAATATCAACTGAGTCTGTTTTATTTCTCATTAAAAAGGTCCAAGTATGCCTTGACATATCATCAACTATAGTCAAGAAATAAGTACAATGATCATGAGTCATGGACTTATAAGGCCCCCAAACATCTATATGTAACAAGTCAAAACATTTATTACTCTTAGAACTAGAAACTGGAAAGGGTTTCCTAGTTTGTTTAGCCAGTGGACAAATCTGGCAAACAATGTCTATACAACACTTTGTAGGAAGATTAGCATTCAAATAATGCAGCTTATTGAATGGCAAATACCCTAGTCTTAGGTGTAACAGCTTAGCTTCTTCAGTTATAGCCAAATTCACAGAAGAACTGCTCTCCGCATGATCCTTATCAACAGCATAAAGACCAGACTCCAAGTTACCAATAACCAGGGAACTTTTCTGGGAATCCTGAATCATACACTTGTCATGAGTAAAAATGATTTCACAGTTCATATCCTTACACAATTTGTGTGTGGATATCAGATTAAACTGTAAGTTTGGAACATGTAACACATTTTTTAAAATTATTCCATTCCCAAACTTTACAGTTCCTATATATTCAGCACTTCAACTTTCTTTCCATCAGCCACAATAATCTTATTTGGCAATTTATCAAAAGGAACATGTGAATCAAAGAGATCTAATCTTGAACAAATATGATCAGTAGCTCCACTATCAATGATCCATTTATAATTTAGGCAAGTAATTAGACAAGTGTTAATACCTGCCATGTTTGCCATGCCTGTGATTTTTCCAGCTTCATCAGCTTTGTTCTGTTTGATGTAAGTCAGAAACTGGCTGAACTGATCTTTAGAGATATGAGCTGCATCACACTCATCTGTGTCTGAATCATCATCTCCATAAACGACAGCAGCAACTCGTTTACCCTTGGCAAACTTTCCATATCCAGGCCTTGGTGGATAACCTTTGAGCTTGTAGCACTTATCAACTGTGTGATTAGTCATTTTGCAATGATCACATAACAGATTATTCTTCTTGTATCCTCCTGCATGCATCTGAGAACTGTGATTTGAGCTTGTTCCTTGATTGAACCTCTGATTATCTCCAGTTGCAAAGGCCATCCCAGAGTGTCTGTTATACACATCTGTAATCTCTTTCTATCTTTCATCTTGAATCAACAGATTATAAGCAACAAATATTGTAGGAAGAGGATTCATCATTAGAATATTGGTTCTAACACCAGAATGTTTAGAATCTAATTTCATAAGAAATTGAACCAATCTCTTATCCTGTTGAGTCTTCAGAAACTTCTTGGTCAAGTTACAAGAGCAACCATTACAAGAACAAACTGGAATAGGATTAGCTGCACTAATCTGATCCCAGATTCCTTTGATTTTAGTAAAATACTCAGCAACAGATGAATTATCTTGACTTATTTGTCCTAGTGATTGTTGAAGAGAATACAACTGAGGTCCAGAAATAATTGAGTACCTGTCTTCCAGATCCTTCCAGATCTCATGTGCCGTGGTAAAGTAAAGAACACTCTTAGCAAGAGTATTATCCAATGATCTCTGGAGGTAGGAGATGATCATGTTGTTGCATCTTGTCCAGGCATGAAAATCAGGATCTGCTTCATTTGGTTTAGGTAAGGAGCCATCTATGAACGTCATTTTGTTCTTCATAGAAAGTGCCAAAACCATTCCTCTCTTCCAATCAGCATAATTATCACCATTGAACTTCTCTGAAACCAGTGAAACAGTTGGATTTTCACTTGGATGAATGTAATATACTGAATTAGGATCTGAAGTAACCGATTGAGTTGAATTGGTTTATTCCACCATTTTTGATGTTATAGGAAAGAGATTGAGATCAGATTCTTTGAATTTTAAGATGAAATTTGCTCAAAACTTCTTGAATTTTGGCTTGAAAAATTCTGTAAACAGATTGTAGTGTTCGATCAAATAGAAAAATTGTATGATTTTATTGAAATTTTGTGCGGAATTTTAGCAGAAAATCTCCTGCTCTGATACCATATTCGAGTTCTTCATTTTAGAACTTAGAAAAACAGGAAAAGAAATAGAGAGAAGAAGAGAGATTTTTATTAGATTGTAAAAAACTGATTACATATTACAAGCTGAGATGCTATATATAGCATTTTGTTTTATAACAGAATCTCTAACAAATTCTATACATCACCAAAAGCGTGGGAATGCTTGTAATAACAGAATATGCCAGCTCATACATCTTGTAACATAATTTTGCCAGCTCATCGATCCAAAACTCAAAGTAAAACTGCTAAGTAAAGGCTGCCTGATTCATCTTCGTTTTCTGATTGAACAAAAGGGTAGACTGCTGTGTCATCTTCAGCTTGATCATCATGATCAGAATGATCATGATGCTCTTTAGTCCCTAAAATCACTTTTTGTCCCTAATATCACTTTGTCCATCTAAATTAAAAGTATTTTTTTTTAATATTATTTTGAAACAAAATGGCTGATATAAATTTCCAGAGAGTCCTTAACATATTTTCATGGATCACATAAGAATACTTGGTATACCATATTAGTTGTAAATATTATTAAAATATACCCCCTTTATTTCTGCCCCATTGTCATTTTTTGAGTCAAAATTTGAAAATTTTGGCCATAAATTACTGTTAATCTACAAGAGATAATATAGTCAAGAGTGATATATATTAATACTATCACACTTTTATAATTTTTACGTGTATGAAAATAAAGATATAGGTCTTTTAAAACGCGTCTTGGAGATCGTGTATAGTCAAATGGGGCAAAAAAATAGGGATATAGGGAATAGTTGCTGAGTTACATTTGGTTGGAAGAAATATCCTTCGCTCAACCGCGAAAATTAGTCAAACCAATGCTTCTAGGAAGCTCATTACGCTACGTTGAGAATGAATGTATGTGTTGGACTTGTGATTGTACATTTGTACGTAGTCCCAGCTACATGCATTGGTGATGGATTGAGGACGGACGACGATGGCGGCGAGGAGGAAGGAGAGGGGGGGAAGCTCGCCGGAGTTGCAGTTTCATTCATGGTGCCATAAACGGATACATGCATTGAGAAACTTGCTTGGCTTTGAGAAAAGAGTTTAAATTATAAGGTAGAGAGAAAGAATAGTTGGAGGAATTGACATGGTAGCAAACTAGCAATATAATGGTAGTGGGAGTAGGTAATGGAGATGAAGTCAAATAAAATAAAGAAAAAAAATCAATTATTATTGTTGTTAAAAACTATTGTGTACAATGCTAATAGAAATAGGAAAGTTTTGACATGTATGTATTATGGAATTTATAAATTCCATCAAATTATATTTATGACAAAAATATCAAATAATTTTCATTATATAACGTGTCTCTCATACGATTTAAGCAGTCGTTTCATAAGAGAGAGAAATGTGGAAGGAAGAGATATGTCAATTCAGTATTGGTGCCAACTGATATAGAATGGAGAGACGAGTTAATTAAGGCAGGGTAGAGAAAGGAGATGACATGTCATTTATTAATTGTTGGCGTGTATAAATGATTGGAGACAGATATATGTGATCTTCCTTTCTTATTATATTTTGAATTTTTTTTCGATAAATCTCATTTGGTATACTCTCCTTGTCATCTTGTAATATAATGCTCATTTATATCTTCATGGTCAAAAATTTAAAAAGTTTGACCTTAATAATATATGCGAAAATCATAGTCATGTACAATATTTTTAATTCGACTCAATGTGAAGTTTAATTATGCCAGTTTTTTTAATTTAAATGAAAATATTTTTTTGTAATTCGTACCCCATTTTGATGGTAAAAAAATGCATCTTGAACACCGTATAATACAAAATGGACACTATATTATAGAATTATAGTAACAATAAGGGCATGTTCTCTTCAGCTTAATTTTAGTTTAGCTTTAATCAGTTCAGTTCAATTCCTAATTTTCTTATCTCATAAACAATTCATTTCAGTTCAGTGTAGCTCCAATCAGCTCAGTAAATTAAAATAGGTCATAAGTGAATTGGAATTTTTCCTTAAGAGGAGTTTTATTTTGACAGCTATACTTGTGTGCGAACAAGAAAATTTTCACACTATTCAAATAATCAGGAGTTTCTTTATGTACTAATTAGATATGTTTTATAGTTTATTAGGAGACAATTATTCTATACATATGGGTAAATAATCAAGACTTTCTATTGATTTTGTTAGATTTGTTTTAATGTAAAATTTTATCAAATTTTATAATTTTATATACATGAGATTAATAGTACTTCCTCCGTTAATGGTTAATTGCAACAACGAGGTATTATTTGTGAGCTATAAAATATTCCTTTGTTGTAATTAACCATTAACGGAGGAAGTAAATTAAATAGACATTGTGGACTGTCATGTGCAAAGTCTAGTAGACTAATTAAGTCAAATCACATAGAACCAACGAACCAAAATATATGAAGTACATAATGCATGATTTGTGCACCCGGCTACCCGGGTGCACCATCAGGTTAAATAAGAAAAGGCGGACAGAACATTTAGATTGTCAAAAAGGAACATGTGGATTTTTGAAAAAGAACATGTTTGTCTTTAACAATGAACATGCATTATTAAAGAACATAAAGACATTACAAAAAGAACGTGACATAAACTTTATTAAAATTTTATGAAAAATTACACATTAAATGAAAAAATCTTTGCAAAAATATCATTTCCCCAAAAATAGTTTTCTTTCTCTCCAAAAATTCTACTTTCCATAATAATTTTAGTTTTCTCTCTCTAAAATATTTTCAACTAAAAATATTCAAGATTTCATTTTCAAATTAAATTTCAAAATTCAAATTAACACAAGTTAAAAGAACATGAGTTATAATGTAAAGAACATATAATTCATACCACCGAAGAAAAAATTGATCAAACTCAAAGAACATACGATAATAAAAAAAATGATATATGATAATTAAAAAAAAATGAATTTGTGCATCACTCATACCTCAAAGAACATACGAGCCAATTTCAAATAACATACTTTATATTATTGAAACCAAAAAATATGTTTAATCAACATATGGTAAAGAATATAAGTATAAAAGAACACATTATCAAACATATATAGGTATGTTCTTTGTCAAATATAAGTATGTTCTTTGTCAAATATGGTATGTTCTTTATCAAACAACCGTATGTTCGTTTTTTCTGCCTTTCGGGTGCACCAGTGCACCCGGGTGTACTATCCTATTTTCATGAAGTAAATATTATTCTATAACCAACTCCATAAATTAATTATGCCCTGAGAATAAAAAAAATACAATCAAATTGCATTTTAATTGAACCAATTCAAGGATTTATAGACACTAAGCAATAATCAATTCTATTGGAATAATTGCTCCAATTCTTTTCAAATTTTCTCCATGCATCTTGCATTTATATTTTATTTTATTTTAATTATTTATTTATTTATTTATTTATTTATTTTTGACATATGCTTAATAATTAAAGGTAAGGATTACAAACGATGGAATAAGTTTGCTATGCTACTTAGAGGAGCTTTACTAGCTCCAAGATTACATAGGGTATAAATAAAACATAAGTACAACTTCCTCACAAGAAAACGTCGGCTTGAAAACCCAAGTTGCCTTCAAACATGCTGTAGGAGATATCAAAATTTTCCTGTGTTGGCTTTGGATCCCCATTTATGTTGATGTTGGGAAGAGAATAGAAAGGCAGAGAACACGCGGTTGTTGATATACATTAACTCGGGCTCAAAAGACACAAATAGTTTTTTACATTAAATAAAACAAGTAGATAGGAATAAAAGACGACCAAGGCTTAATGACACAATAGGCCCTTGTATCTTGCATTATTCATTCAATAGGCCCTCGATCTCTAGCTTGGAGCAAGCAAATCTGTAGAATTTCATTGGTATACAACTATAACGAAGAAGAGTTTGATCTCATACAAGCGAACTCTTGCATGATTTTATCCTTAAACCAATTGGTATATATTAATTAATTAACATGTGGGTTTTTCCTTTAACAACTTTTAATTTGTGTAGTTGTCCAAGTTCTGACCCTAGCCATCACTTTATTTATTTTTGAAGACAATCATCACTTTAATTTGTATAATACTTCATAATGAAAATGATATTGGTATTACTTATCGAATAAATTATTATATTACTAGTATTAGTTAGTCACTTTAGAATAATGAAGTGACCAGCATATATTTAAGGGAGCATTAATCAAAGTGATAAATTCATCAATTGTGGTATTTGATCACGTATAACGTCAAATCGTCAATTAACATAAGTGATCTAGAATTTTACAAGTAATGATAATATTAGCAATCAAGTAATCAAATTTTTGGTTGTCATGGATGTGGATCAAACGATCATTACTAGCCACTGATTTTAAAATGCGTAATAGCTTATATTTCCTCAGTTTTATATTACTTACAACATATTAGTAGTATTTTGACAAATATTTTAAAAAATAGATATAAGAGTGCAGTATAAACGATACAATAATCAAAATAACTTTTAACAACACAGTAACAAAAAGCTAGTTTTCATCTTACTTGCGTTTAAATTATTCTGTTTGCAACACCATTGAATTTCTTCATTCCTTAAAAAACGTGTCAAAACATTATGTTGCAATTGCAAGTAATATGAAAGCGATCAAGGATGTATTATACACCATGCATGCGACAAAAGCTTAATTAATCACAAAAGATTTTGATTAGGTGCTTAATTACTCCTTAATTATTATATACTACCATATAGTTTAAGATTAAAAGCAGTACGAACTATGTTACGTATTTGAGGCTCCCTCCATTCCAATTGCGTTAGTGACATTTTTTTTGGTGTGTCCCAAAATCGAAGATCAATCTTTATATGGCTTGCAAGTTAAATTATAATTTCATATTACACAATGCTATTATTTTGAACAATTGATCATCATTACTCACTCCGTCTTTAAATAGGTACAAAGTATTAGATAAGTTCGTTTCAATTCATCTAAAAATTACCAACAATGTTTTAGGTTTGAATTTTCACCTTAAAACAAATAAATTTCCAAACTTATTATTGCCAAGAGAATAATATACAATGTCAAAACAAGATGAATTGTAATTTATCGACAACTAATCCTATTTTTCATGGATAGCCTTAACCCCGAGGTTTGGCCAAGTCGGGTTAAGTAAAAAAAAATAATTCATGTCCAGATCAACAAAATCATGTACGTAGAATTGTTTATGTCACGACCGATCTTTTCAGGCTAGCTAGGTTTTGGCTATAATACACTTCTCATGTTGTTCAAACCCACATTTTTCAGGCTAGCTAGGCCATGAATGATATTCGCTTGCAAAACAGAAAGTACCATTGGTAAAGCCTAAGGAAGTAGTAAAAAAAAAGGCTATGTAAAATTGTAAATATGTTGGGATTTAAGTGAAAAAACTGAGAGAAGGTTAATTGCTTAAGTAGTTGACGTACTACAAGATCTTGATGAGCTAAATATACACTAATGACATTTATCTAAGATGGTGTTTAGACTTATCACGTAAGCTATATCTTGCATTGTTAGGCATAACGCAACCCTGGCCTAATCATATCAAATTGTAGAATTAAAATAAAATACTAAGAAAAATAATTAATTAAATTAAAGGCCCAAATGTAAGCTGTTAATATGAAAATTAGCCAAACAATTAAGTGATATAGTGTATAAAATATAAATTTCTACTACGAACATGACAAGTAGGTAGAACAGTCAAGTCGTTCAACCAAAAAAATTTCTAGAATCATGTGAAATATCTATTTCTTCAATTCTAACAAAGTTGTAAATAAGAGATTCTGTAAACGTAACCTTTTACATTTATTATTTTTTAACTAATATAATATCTTCTTAATTAATTGGGTCAAAGCATTCAAATTATGTTTAATTGAATTTACTATAATTTAATCTAGTTCATGACGCATGATTGTATAAATAATACACTTTTAATTATGCACCCAAAAAATGACATAAACCAAGTAAGAACTCAAGAAATTATGCAGGAAAGTTCAATTAATAAAGAAATATTTATATACATACCTACCAAATAAGAAATACAAATATAAAAAATTACTATTAATTCAGGGCATGTGATAATGTTGATTACTTGCTAAGCAACCCATATACCATGCTCGAAGTAGCTAGCCTTTGTGAAGTTGATGTTAGGCAACCAGCCAACCACGGTCTATGTTTTTAATTTATTTTAATTTTATAGAAATATATAATATAGCTTCATAAACTTTTTATGGGTTTGTAATTTGTATAGTAACGAGTTTCTTCGAGAACCACTAATGTCTAATGCAATAGTGCTAGAAACCGAGATTCATTAATTTGAAAGCTAGCTAGCTACTTCTTTGGTTCATATATACGGTATGACTTTTAGTCAACTTGTTTGAAACACAGTCTAATAACACAAGTGATAGATAGGGGTATAAGTGGATAACTAAATAAGTAAATATACTGGTCTAAGTTAATGAGATAAGGGTTGATAAAACCAAACACTTCTCAAGGTTCATTGATATAATTTAACATATTCACAAGCTACTCGAGGGCCAAATTAACTAAATATACCTTATTATCAACATCATCGCATCTTATGCTTGACTCTACTCTTGTCGTACCACTATTATGTGTCTATTATAGGTTCTATAACTATTGCAACATTGCATATCTTGTGTCAAGGTAAACAAAATGAGAAGACAAGGAGTTGAAACTCCAAAAGGGCTAAGGGAGTGGGATGGAAATCAATTTTTATACTATAATAATAATAATAATAATAATAATAATAATAATAATAATAATAATAATAATAATAATAATAATAATAATAGTAAAAAAAAAATTTAAAAAAAGTTACTTTGAATGTGATGGTGCCTCCTTTAAGAATGTTATTACATATTCTATAATTGAGTGATAACATAATTATAATTAAGATAACTATTTTTCATTACAATCCGTAAGAAAATTAGAGACATACATAAATTCAGCTCGAAAAAGGTGGTAAATTATTAAAGCTATTCACCATATATGAGCTAAGGCAATAAAAACCTAATTTATGAAATGAGCGCCCCCGGGGCGTTAGATAAGAGAATTAAAGTGCAAATATTAGAATAAAATTAACATTAATTATACCGAACGACGCATGATTTTGTCATGAATTCCTAACTTAATACCATTTCAACCAATATAATTTATCCTTATCTAACGCCCCAGAACGCTCGTTAGCAAGATCGATTTATGAATAAAAGTAAAAACAAAACACAAAATACAAGAGGGAATATTGAAAAAAAAGATGTTGAAAAAGGTAATGAGTGCATGAAATAGTGACCATGGAAGCAAAACCTTGCTTTCATTCCATATAATAATTAGCATCAATTAATTATGTTCACTTTTTTCCCTTCTTTATAATTTCACTTTTAGGTAAAGGATAGCTTACCCATATAAACCCATCCTTGTTTAATGCCCATAACTTTTATCATATTTTCATGTTTGCGTGCTACAAGCTAGTGTTTTAAATTAAATAAAACCAATTAATATATTAAATAATTAATTATAATAATATTAATGTTTTATTGGCATTGGATACATTGGGCCCTTTTAAATACCACAAAAATGAGTAATCGTAGTACATCCTTTTCGTAGTTTTCTTGCTTTCACACTCCACTAACTAGTTCGCCAACCAACCCCCCATCCTCCATCTCCTTCCTTTCTTTCTCTCTCCTTGTTTGAGTTTGACTACTTCACCCCCCCATTACCCAACTGCTGCTTATTCTTCCTCACCTCACTTTTTTTTTATTATTATTGTGTTATTCAATTTTTTTCGATATTTAAAAGTATACTCCGTAATATAAACATTGGTGTGACATGTAGCTGGTACGGATGGTAAATGTCACGTACCAGCTACGCTTATACAAGTTGCAGTTTTTAAAAGTGGCGACTCTTTTATCCTTTCTCTTAACTACGTGAACATACAACTATATAGGGATACTAATAGCCTAATAGGCCAGTAGAGTCATCCTCCATCGTCCAAACCATACTTTCAAAATTTAAAAAAATATATAATCGAAAAATAAAATATAGAGAAAGAGAAACACAAACCCCACCTATCCCCTTCAATCCCTAAAAGGATCTTCTTCCCAAGTTCAAACGTAAGCTACTACTATTTTTCCTCTCTTTTTTTCAATTTTTGTACAATTTTTATTTCCTCTTTAACAAAAAGTTCCTCATTAAATATCACCTTTCCTCTTTTCTCTCTCCTTTTCTTCTCCTCTCCCCAAAAAATAAACCCTAATCATTCTTCTCATCAGAACATAGAGCAGGTAGCTCAGCTACATACATAGAGAGTGCTCAAAAATCCCCTCCTTTTTATTTTCTTTCCTCCTTTTTAATTAGCTATTGCACTGCACTATTTCTAAAAACAGTAATTCAATCTTTTTTCTAGATCATATAACACCCCTTTTTTTCTCAAATGTAAGAAGAGAAAAAGTAAGAAAAAAGAGATCATAAACCTTCTTTCATATCCAATCTTTTTAGATTTTGCTTTGGACCTCCAAAATCTTCCGTATCTTCTTCTTCTCTAGATCGATCTCGCTCCTCACGCTCCGTCATGGAATCGGGGAATAGTAGTAGCATGCAATCATCGAGTGGTGGCGATGAACAGGAATATGAATCCGGCGGAGTATTATCAGCAACAACAGGAGGTAATTACTTGTTGAGTAATACTAGTAGTAGTACTACTAATAACACCTTACCTTCATCAAATCATTTTAACAATAGTCATAATCATAATCATTTTATGTTTGTGTTATCTCCCAACAATCAAATACCACCTCCTCCGCCATCACTTCAACCATCTTCAGCACATGTTAGTTACTTGGACTCTTTTGATACTCAAACTAATTATCAGAACTTGATGTTCGGGTGGTCCGCTAATAATCAATTCTCTACTGGTAACAGCTTGTCCGATCCTAACCCACATCCTCATCCACCTCCTCCTTCGATGCCGAGTCAAAGTTGCACCAATACCCCTAATACCACCCACCTTCCGCCTCCAAGATCGGTACCGTTACAAGATATGTCAACACATAAACAAACCGCTGCTGCTGCTGCTAGTGGTAGCACCACCAGCACCGGTAAGAACCCGAGGAAGCGAACTCGAGCGTCAAGAAGAGCGCCAACGACGGTATTAACAACGGATACGACTAATTTCCGAGCGATGGTTCAAGAATTCACTGGCATTCCATCATCTCCATTCTCAGCAGCAGCATCACCTCTTATATCTAGAAGACTCACCGATCTTCTATCCGGGTCAAGTTCAGGTTTGGGCGGAGCTAGGTCGGGTCTACCACATCCGATGTCGGGTCACAACCCGAGTTCACTCGAACGTCTCCTTGCTGGTTACAACAACAACAACAACAATTACCCATTTAGACCCTTACCTCAAAAACCAAATACTAATACAAATATAAATAGTACAATATCCAACAATACAACTAATAATCATCATTCATCATTTCAGTCTCTTCTGCAATCAGCCTCAGCCTCAGCAGCTAACCCTCCACCACCACCACCCGTTATGTTCCCGGACCTTGGTGGTGTACTTGGGAATCATGATCAAACCATGTTCGGGTTCGCGCCGATGCGATTACATCCGGATACCACGGGTGGTGGTGGTTGGAGAGGTGGTAGAGAACAACCACAACAACAACAAGGTGATGATGATGGGAATATGAGAGGTGCAATGAGTCAGCAACACCAAACCACGGGTGCTGAAAAGAGTAATAATAATAATAATAATAATAATAATCAGCAAATGGGGGGTCAATTAGTGGGGGTGGGACTTCCAATTATAATGTGAATATCAATTGTTCAAGAGATAAAGCCTTAGACAATGCTACCCAAGGTACGTTGGGTGATTTTCTTGGTTAATTTTTTTTCAATTTTCTACTTAGTTTTTTTTTTTTTTTTTAATTATATTATATTGTTACATACCAAATTTTATATAGATTAGGATCGAATTATATAGTCCTAGGAATGAATACAAGAAATGAAGAATTTTGGGCTGGAAAAAAAAAAAGAAAAAAAAAGAGGGTAGATTAGATAATTGATTAGTTTTGTTGTTATAATTATAGTTGTAATCATAGTACTAGATCAGACAATCTAAGGTTGAATATCAACCACGCACATTATTATAATTATCAATTTATCATATCATCTTTTTTTTCTCTCTCCTTTATTTTTTTAATTATTATTTATATCTTAATTATGTTAATCAGAGGTGAAATTATTATATGCACATTTGAATGGTACTTTTTGTTCATAATTTTGGATCAATTTGTTTTCATTGCATAAATCATTATTACAATTGATGACTTTAATTACACGTCCAATAGAAACTGTCTTTAGTACTAGTACAAGAAATAAAGTTAAGGTTAAATGAATCTATTTCTTTCTCCTTATCTTTCTTTACAACCGAATTTGAGAGTTGTTGTAATTGCCATTAAAAATAAAGTATTAAGTCCGTTCAAAATGATTTAGTACAACCAGTAATAATAACGAACATGACGACTAATTCCAAACAGAACAAAAGGTTGTATGTCATTGAATGACAAAGTTAGCAAGAAAATTAAGTATGGTAATTGAATTAAAGTCGGTGATTTTATGGCACTAAAAAAATTGAATTAGTGTACTCATTTTGTTCCTTTGTAGCTGCTTTGAAAGTTCTTCTCTGAGTTTTTTTTTTTTTTTTTTTCCCTAATATATTTATAATATGATTTGTCGTTTTGAAAAACCATTTAATTAATTAGGCAGTAGTACTGCGTTATAGTGCGGATCAAATCCAATGTGAAATAGTAAAAGTCCATGATTAAGGAGGCAAAAAATAATGTAAAATGCATGGGAAACATTGATATAATATAGTTGGCTTTTGTATTAATTTTACAACATTATTTTCATTTACGGAGTATTATTTGTTTCCACCATAATTATTGTGTGCTCATATGCATTGCACCATTTTTTCATTTGCATGGAATGGCCTTACCACTAAAATGATTATCACACTATTTTTAAGTTAATATAAATATCCTAAACGTGCTGAAAGGTATTTTCAAGTCCTTTTTTTTGGGTATCTTTGAAATTTTTTTTATATATATTTATTTTTTAATTAATTATATTGTGAAATGTGAATTTTGAGTTTTATATATGTACAATGATGATAAATAGGGTGTATAGTAATACATAGTCATCAACTCATCATTATGTTATTAGTCCTTGTTACTCCATTTCGCTAGCTAGGTTATACTTCGCTTTTATTTATTTATTTATGGATAGCTTGGTCATATAATGAGAGCATAAAAACATTTATTCCTCAATAATTATTTGTGTGCTAAAGAAGAGGAATTATTTCACAAATCTCCCATGAAACTTGAAGAAAAAATATAAATGAAAATTATTATATGCAATTGATTAACTTGATCGATTGAGAAAGAACATGTAAGTTTGGAAGTGAGCTTCCGTTAAATACAAGATAGGTGTATGGTAAGACGTGTATGCTTTCTTATAAGGAATGGGGTGACTTTAAAAATGATCTTTAATTTCAAAGGAGCATAGGCGACTTTATTGAAAATTTTAAGCTTCTTCCACCATCATATATATTTCATATGAGATCAAAACTTTGCCTTCTATATTCTTTTCTAACCATACTTTTTATGTCACTCTTTAATTTTCTATTTTTTTTTAAGGTAATAGATATTCAAGCTAGACTTTTGTGAAAGTTTGAAAAGTATACGAGTGTGTCTGCTTGAATCGTGTGGTTATATTTTTTGAAAGAATAAATATTACGGGTTTGTTTGGAATTTATTAGTAAGTTGTTCACTAGATCACTAGTTCAGTTTGCTTATTTAATTTGACCAGCTACTAGTATTTCTAATTCATTGGTTGTAATATTTTCATATAAATATGATATTTAGTGAGCTTACTTGTCAAATTTTGGTGCAAACTACACAGTAACAATCTTTGGATAAAAACAACGGTAAGAAAGGTGTATAAATAATGATAGAGAATATCCATAGAATATTCTCATCCTAGTTTTAGGATATATTTTGTATAAGATTATCTTTGATATCTTTACATATCTTATAGTTACCTAATATGTTTAGGTTTCTCATTGTAACCCTATAAATATTGATCAATGGAAATCACTCTAATCGAGGAGTTTATATTATCTGACAAATAATAAGAGTAATGGTGTTCTAGTTTATTTTTTCTTTTTCATTGAAATAGCTGGCTTTAAGCCAATGGATTAACTATTTAACACATGTTTGAGTTTGCTAGCTACATGAAAGGCCAAATTAAATTTTCAGTTAACAAAACCTTAGCAAATTAAAGTCATTTAACAACGAACAGGGTGTAATGGTTTATTGTAAAAGTCGTACATCAATAATTCACCATAGAAAAATCCTCATAGATCACTTGAGGAAAATATAATTACATGGATATACTTTCTCCGGTTTTTTAAGTGCCTATTTGGGAATTTTATCACTATTCACTAAACATATTTTGACCAATTTTTGTGAAAATACATAAGAAGAAATATAGTCTTGTGGGTCCCAAGAGTAGATAACTAATATTCAATTATTAGCTAAGCATAATTAAAGATATTATGAGTCAAGATTTTGCATCGACATACATATCATGCCACTATGAGACACTTAAAACAATCGAAAGGAGTGGTACTTTGTATGTTCAACTAAACGACCACACTGCCCTTAGAGTATCAACTCATTGACACAGATTCTCTAATCCAAATGTAGAAAGATATATGAAGCAAAACATACCTGATATGATAACACAAACAACATTCATAATTCTTTTAGAGCAGTGAATTAAAATCCATCAAAGTAGATATAGATAGCTGTCAATATAGTAGCAGGTGAGATGATTGACTATAAAGAATAAAAATGGGTATGTAAATGTAATGTAAAGTCTAATTGGCTCGATCCAAGCACATGTTTTGGACTGCAACTTCTCTACAAATGACTGCCTGTTACCCTAGCAAAGATGCCAACAAAAATATTACTCGTACATTATTATTCATCTGTATTTCTATCAGTACTATATCCCCGGATTTTCTTATTTTGCTTTTGACTTGCTTCTATTGTTTAACTTTTTGTTTGACCAGTTTAATGTATTTGGAATTTTGTGTATTTTTGGAATATTTTTATTGGAAAATTTGCAAATTGCAGCCATATAAAGTTCGTATTTTGCAAATTGCAGCTATTTAAATTTTTTTTTGCAAATTGCAGCCCAAAATTTCGTATAAATTGTAAATTGCAGCCCGATTCAATTTTTTCATCGGTTTACATGTTGAAAAATCTTTGGTTAAGATTTTAGGGGTCATTTTAGTCTTTAGAGGCCCGAATTGAGCTCGGAATTAGCAAAAAAATAACGTAAATTGAATTCAGTTTAGTCATTTTGGTATTTACGTTATTTTTTTGCTAATTCCGAGCTTAATTCGGTCCCCTAAGAACTAAAATGACCGCTAAAACCTTAACCGAAAATTTTTCAACATGTAAACCGATGAAAAAATTGAATCGGGCTGCAATTTACAACTAAACGAACTTTTGGGCTGCAATTTGCAAAAAAAAAAATTAATGGCTGCAATTTGCAAAATCCGAACTTTAAATGGCTGCAATTTGCAAATTTTCCTTTTTTATTTGTACCTTTACAAATGTTTGTAACATTCTTAAATAAACCTTCTTAAATAATGCTACAAAAGTGGAGTAAAACATATGGAAGGATCAAAGGAGTACAAATGGATACTTCTATAAGTGCAAATAATTAATTTAACTTTTTTTTTTGACAAAAAACTGCAAATATTTATGATATTGAATGAGAAATTTGTTTCCATTAAGCCTGTCCAAATATATAGCTAAAATGAGATTTTATTTCATAGAAGCACACTAGTGTATTTAGAGTAATCCATCATTTGTCGAATTTTAGGTGAAATAAATAGCTTGTTTTCATGCATGGTAGGGTTCGACGTACAAAGTAGTTGCATGGACAAACATAAATACAATTCTCCCATGAATATGATGATTATTGAATTTATATTGAGTAATGGACACATTATTTAACTTGTAATCATATACTACTTCCGTTACAGATTATGTGCAACGATTTGATATAAAGTAGAGAGGAAAAATGTCTAATTGTTGCATATAACCTGTAACGGAAGTAATATTTAAAATAGAATGCGCCAATATAACTTGAAAAAAAATAGTTTAGCCCTTAGGTAAGGGAAAACCCAAAATAAATAAATAAATAAATAAATAAAAGGAGTTGAATTGCATATCATACAAAAAAGAAAGAGATTATTTCTTAAAAACAATGCATGAGTCGCCATGACTTCATTTGTGTGCTAATTAAGAGCTATGGCTACTAACTAACGTGTATAAGCCTTTAACTATTGCAAAGTTCCTCGCTTTTTTTTTGGACAAGATGAAAAGTTCCTAGCTAGCTAATTAAGCAATAAGAACACAATTATCAATAATCATGATTAATCAATCTAGATATTGATCCTAATTATTATTTTCAAAACTAGAATGATTAGTCGGCATGTGTTCTAAATTCTACACAATGCACTCATCAAACTGCAGCAAGATTTGACTGCCAAGGTACGGTTTAACTACAATAAAAAGAAAAGTATTGTTGTGCGACAGCGGAAGCAAAGGTCGAAAACAAACAAGAAAACAATAAAGAAATTCAATGCAAACAATAAGAACAACACCAAGAATTTACGTGGTTCACTATCGATGTGATAGCTACGTCCACGGGCACCGATATCGAATGATTTCACTATAAACTGCAAAGATTACAAAGATGATTCTTGTATTTCTCAAGAACGGCTCTCACTCTGTCTCTCTTAACCCTAATACTGATATTAGGGAGGTTTTATATTAATCCCTAAAATAAAAGATACTTGGGCAAAAAGATAACATAAAAGATAACTTTAAATCGTAAAATCCGCGTCTCCGCATTTTTCCTTCTCCGCCCGGTCAGACCGGGCAAGGTCTGCCCGATCGGGCGCGAGAAGAAAACTCCATACGAATGCTTCAACGTATCCAACCCCCACCGCCCGGTCAAACCGGGCAAGGTCTGCCCGATCGGGCGAAGGCTCGCCCGGTCGGGCGAAGGCTCGCCCGGTCGGGCGCGAGAGCAGCTTCTTCAACGAATTTGCCAGGCACCTCTTCTTCTTCCGCCCGGTCAGACCGGGCAATGTCCGCCCGATCGGGCGGACAAAGCTACGAAGTACGAGTCACCTAATATACTTATCAACAATCTCCACCTTGACGAGAACTCGTAGTCAGCAAACGACCCCATCAAGACATAGTGAAAAAACATCTCAAGCCAAACCCGATGCAAGACTCATGCATAAGCCATACATCCCGATAAGTCTTCAACCAAGACCCATCACATACTCGTCTCCAAGTATAACAACTCATAATGCTCCACCTGCATCACAAGCCCCGGGCAAGCTCCACCTTAAGGCCAACACACCTACACCAGGAGCTCCCCAACTTCGCCCCTCAGGGCCTACTACATCACGTAGTAATCAATATTTAGCAAGTCTAAGCAATGTTTAAACTTGCTAAACGGAACAGGCTTAGTGAAGAAATCAGCCGGGTTGTCAGCAGTCCCAATCTTCTTCACCTTAATCCTCTTGTCAGTACGTAAGAAATGATACCTGACATCAATGTGCTTCGTCCGATCATGGTGTACTTGATCTTTAGCTAAGCAAATCGCACTTAGACTATCACAATACACTGTAGCAAAATCCTGTGCAATACCCAGTTCACCTACTAGGCCTTTGAGCCAAATAGACTCCTTAGCTGCAGAAGTTAGAGCCATATACTCAGCTTCAGTAGTTGACAACGTAACTGATGACTGCAATGTAGACTTCCAACTAACCACAGAACCACCCAAAGTGAACACATAACCAGTCACAGACCTCCTGGTATCCACATCAGCTGCATAATCAGAATCACTGTACCCAGTGACCAAGCATTCCTTATCATTCCCGTACACAAGACCAATATCAGCTGTCCCTCTCAGGTAGCGAAAAATCCTTTTCACCCCTTGCCAGTGTTCCCTCCCAGGTCGAGCCATAAACCTGCTTACAACACTAACAGCATGCGCAATATCCGGCCTAGTACAGACCATAGCATACATCAAACAACCAACCGCGTTTGCATATGGAACTCTAGACATATAAGACAACTCCTCCTCTGATTGAGGTGACATAGACAAAGACAACTTACAACTAACAGTAGTTGGCGTACTTATAGGCTTCGATTTTTCCATCCCAAAACGAGACAAAATCTTTTCAATGTAGCTTTTCTGAGTCAAGAAAAGCTTACCTCTAGCCCGATCCCTGTAGATCTCCATACCCAAAATCTTCCTAGCTGCACCCAAGTCTTTCATGTCAAACTCCGAGTTAAGCATCTCCTTTAATCTAGCAATATCAGATTTATTCTTTGTGGCAACCAACATGTCATCAACATATAACAAAAGATAAATCATGGAACCATTATCCAGCTTACTATGATACACACAGCAATCATATGAATTCCTGTCAAAACCTTGTGAAACCATAAAAGAATCAAACCTTTTGTACCACTGTCGGGGGATTGCTTAAGTCCATACAATGACTTTAGCAATCTGCAGGCATAGTGTTCCTTTCCAGGAACTTCGAATCCTTCGGGCTGCTTCATCAGAATCTCCTCCTCCAAATCGCCATGAAGGAAAGCCGTTTTAACATCCAACTGCTCCAGCTCAAGATCAAAATGTGCTACAATTGACAATAACACACGGATAGAAGTATGTCGAACCACAGGTGAGAATATCTCAACAAAGTCAACCCCTTCTACCTGACTGAACCCCTTAGCAACTAGCCTAGCCTTAAAACGTATTTGCTCAGTTTCCGACAACCCTTCTTTCTTCTTGTAAATCCATTTACAACCCACAAGCTTCCTCCCTTCCGGTACCTTTACCAGTTCCCACACTCTGTTCTTGTAAAGAGACTGCATCTCTTCACCCATTGCGGCAAGCCATTGCGCAGACTCACTACAACTAATTGCTTGTTTATATGTGGCAGGTTCAAATGACTCTACATCATCAGCTACACTCAATGCATAACCTGTCATCGCATCAACACAGCAATTTCTTCCCTCCATCTCTTCAATCAATCTAACAGGCTTC